GGTTTGTAGGGTTTGCGTTCGGGGTTCACGGTTCAGGGCTCTTAGGGTTTAGAGGATCTGAAGATCTGGGTCTCGGATTGCGGGTGGCATGTCTGGGGTCCAGGGATACTCTGCGAGGAGGAGGAGGAGCTTTTCGAACTTCACCGTCCATTTTTTGGCGTGCCCTTGTTTGCAGGAATTCCAGCGCTTTGCCTATACCATGGGCATTCCCTGTTTGTGCTGCGCATTTCCTTCGTTCAAGAGCACAACTCTGAAGGGGCAAGTAATGAGCATGCAGGTATGTCTGAATACACGACTTCCTTCTGAAGACAATGCAAGACAAGCCAACACCAAAAATCTAAGCCGCTCTCAACGTCAAGGCGCAGCCAGTAGACAGAAATGCTCCTTCCCAAAGGGTCCATGTAGTTGTATAGTATTTACTAAGGGCCCAAAGAGGTTCCCATGTAGCTACTTTAGGACTGAAGTGTATACTATATAGCTACCCGGACCCTTTGGGCTTTCGCAGGTGCCTGATTCCGGTGATCTGGTTCGGGTGGATGCAAGCCCCTACGGCTTCTTCGCTAATCTTTTGTTTGAATTCGGCGGTTCTCGACATAGGGGTTCAAGGATCGGGGTTCTGGCATGCAGGGTTCAGGGTTGGTGGTTTGCAGGTTGAGGGTTGAATTCGAAGTTTAGGGTGTCGGACTTCCTTTCTTTGTCATCTGAGTCTTTGAAAATTGCTTATGAGCTTACAGCCGAGCATGGCGAGACTCGTTGAGACGCAAAGTGGAGTTTCAAGGTTGCAGTGCGGAGTGGATGTGAATCATGGTGTGTTTTGTTATGTGAGGTTTTATGTTTGGCTTGGGGCGCCTGCCCCGTCGTGCCCCATTTGGGGCCTGGCGTGATGAGGCTCATGTCGCTCAGAGGCTTCAGCGCATGGTTTCTCAGGCCTTGGGTCAGGGTTCTGACAGTGCATTTCTAGATGCTAGACTCTGGGGCCCAAGGTAGATGTGATTCGTAGAGTTATAACCTAAGGGCCTTCTGTTGGCTTGAGAAGCACTCATCAGGCTACTGAGGGTTCTTGTTCTTTCGCGAAGCATCTTTTTTCCGAGCATGCGTCGGTACAAGATAACCCTAAACCCTACACCCTAAAGGTGGAAGCACTTTGAGTGGAAGGTGCTACCGTTATCAACCCTGGACCCCATAACCCTAAGGGTCCATGTACACAATAATTAGGTACTTGGGCATTGGGTAGCAGTAACTATAGTACAGGTTTTGGGTAAGTATATCATTATTGGGTACTTGGACCCTTAGGGTAAGCCTGAAGCCAGAAACCTGAGGCCACCAAACCTGAAGCCCTAAACCCTAAACCCTAAACCTGAAGCCCCTTACTGAGGCGTTCCCCAAGAGCAGTTCTGGGTTGAGAGGAACCGGCTGAGGATCAAGGATGTTTGAGTGCAAGGGTTTAGGGTTTAGGGTTTAGGGTTGGGCTTAGGGTTCAGGGTTTAAGGCTCAGGGTTTCGGGTCTATGTAGGATCTTCTGCAAGCCGTGGCATTAATTAACCTCCCCTTTAAACACTGCTACTACATGGGGAGCATTGGAATGAGGGGGCGCGGCGCTTTTCGTTAGCGGAACTGAATAGTAATTGCCTGGCCAATCATATGCATTGTAGTCTACCGGAAACTGCACCAAAAAGGCTCGTGATGAAGGGTTGTGAGCTAGTAAGAATTTGCAAGGATAGTAGCAAGGGGTGATGAGGGTCCTTCTCAAGAACAGTGGAGGGGTAATTTTGCCAAACTTGCACATACGCACGTTTGCAGCCTAACAGGACCAGCTCAGCAGGAAGAAGCGTTCACGCAATTCAGAGGTGGAAGCACGGCTGCAGTCAGAGTTTGGACCCCAAATCGTAAACATCTTAGACCCTAAACCTCTAAACCTTCAACTTCATGTTTTACATTGGGTTAGGGTTTAGGTCTTAGGCTTTATTATTTAGAGTTTAGGATTTGGGTTTGGGATTTGGGGTTCGGGGTTTCGGACATGTGTGGCCTGCGTAGGGCTGTAGAATCAAATCCAAAACGTGGATCGTGGCAAGTTGTCAAAACTGCGGTCCTTTATCGGGTCCCCCTTATTGTAGCACTCCTAATGATCCAAAGTTTCCTGAACGGAACCCGAATCCTAAATACCTGAGCATCTGTAATTCATATGACCTAAAGTCTAAAGTCCTTAAAGGGGGGTTATATAGGGATTATATAGGGGAATACTATAGGGGTTACTAAGGGGGATACTAGGAGTTTAGACTATAGCTCATATAGTGAGGGTGTGGAGGTCCTATGTTCGAGACCGTGAGGAGATAAGTGGCATGGAGCCGGTACAGGACGCCTATAGTAGGGTTTAGGGTTTGGGGTTTCCGGTGCAGGACGTCTATAGAAACCCGATAATGATATTTCCAGAGTGGCGCTGCGCCCTACACATCCCAAGATACTATGGTAGTTTCCCAAAATAAGGGGACCCCAATATGGACCCCAAAATACTATAGTCCTTATTATAGGGACCCCCCCAAAGGGTACCCCTAGTTTTGGGAAACCCCCCTATAATCACCAGCCACATTTTAGTTTGGGCTCTCTGACATGCTCTCCTGGCTATCATCGCTTAGGCCCTTCGGGAGATCATGTGTACCATAGTCTAAACTCCTTAAAGGGGGTTATATAGGGGACTACTATAGGGGTTATTAAGGGGGATACTAGGAGTTTAGACTACAGCTCATGTAGCCTTCTTTGATGAGAGGGCTGCGGTATAAGGGAACCCTAATCTTCACAGGTCCCAGCATTGTCTTCACAATGACATAGACAGGTTTAGAGGCATTGTCATGCTGGTCGTGAGTACGACACTACCCATCGGAAGGAACCCAAACCCGGGAGCCCTGAACTTTAGCAGTCGTCTCAATCCCTGAACCGTTAACGCCTAAGTGAGTAGTTAACATGGGCATGCAAAGGTCCCAAGTATAAACGAAGATTGTATCTTCTACTTGTGAGTAGCACTTTCTGAAACAAATCTTGTTGTACTTGGTTTCTCGGTGGAGCCACACAAGACGCTAAATCCCAAAAGCCATCAAAAAACAGTTATGCCGTTATGCCCTATATACACTCTAATCTTATTTGCTTCAGATACAAAAGAAGATCCCTCACCTAAACCCTCAACTTACCTTTGGTCAGCTAGGAATGAAGGAATGGATCCTCACAGTAGTCCCTATATAGCCCATTATAGTCGTTTCCATTTTCTTTTCCATTCTTTCATTCCCAGCTAACCAAAGGCCAGTCAACCCTAGACTCGAAACTCTAAACCCTAAACCCTGAACTAAAAACCCCTAAACCCTTCACTCAAAACCCTACATCCAGAACCCTAAACTCAAAACCCTGAAGCTTAAACTCAAACCGCGTAGGGTGTACCTCCTGGCTTGGTGCTTCAGCGTGGGTCCGGAAGTATGGAGGTGGAGGAGTGCAGAAGCCCACCAAGTCTAGAGCCCTAAATGAGTAATATTTTGTTTGGGGAGATTATGGTACCCATTGTAGAGTAAGATTCTATCCTCCTTTTGGGGTGTAGTCTTTTATAGAAGGAATATAATCTTACTGGGTTGAACCACCAAAACACACTACTCAAATGAGCTATATATAGTCTAAACTCCTTAGATGGTTATATTGGGGTTATATTGGGATAAGGGCAAATAGAATTGAAACTACTATTTAGGGTTTAGGGTCAAGTGACGATCGCTCAAATGGTTCAGTGTTTAGGGGGTTTGGGGATGAGGGATCTATAAGAGCTTATACTTGTAGGGCTCGAAGGTTTAGGGCGTTCCGGCTTTAAGACTTTCATTGTTAAGAGTTTTGTGGTTGCCCATTTCTTGCGTGTTCAAGTTTTCAGGGCGGATGTCCTGCCTCGAAAGTAGGTAAGATGATGGCCCGACACGCATTACAAGCCCTAAACCCTAAACCCTAAAGAGCCAAGAAGGCTAGTATTCTACATTCGTTTCGGGTTCAGGGTCTCCTAGCCGATCTAACATGGAGCCCACGACGCACGTTACTTGCAAACCAGTTACAGAGGAAACTACAACGCAACAGGAACCTATCTGGGAGACTCATGAAGCCTCGGAAAGGGCAATACTTATGAGATACTTTTCAACCAGAATTTGGTTGGAAGCAATGCAGCCCCTTCAGGTAGTCTTTGCATGGACCCTTTTGGGGCTCCATATGGGTTTGGGAAATTATATCCCCGTGTACTTTAGGGATTCCATTTTCTCTTGTTGAATGGACTTATTTCAGAATATAACGGCAAGGAAGATCATCCCTTCTTCGTGAGCGAATAGGGTTTAGGGTTTAGGGTTGATAGGTAGGAAAGTAGGGAGGCCTTCGTAGAATTACCAGTTTCCCTTTTGCTCACGATTCGTGGAGGAAGCACTTGACACCCTGGTGCCTCAGCAATATTAGTGTACTGCTGACGAGAAATTCCTGCATGATTGCATATACATAAACCCCTTGGCACTATGGTCGCGTAGTATACTTAGGGTCATGCAGGATCGTAGGATACTCCTACAGTTGAACTTAAAAACACCCTGAGTAAAGCCCACTGTGGACATTAAACAGCTTATGGGCTGGGAGTTACGCGTGCAAAGGCTAAAGAGTAGTTTGTATTTTCTTGTCCATTTTCCCAATATAACCCCTATATAACCCCAATATAATCCCGATATAGACCCTATATAACCCATTAAAATAGTTTCCATTTCATTTTCCATTCTCCCAACATAACCCCTTTAAAGCCCCATGGCATCGGAGGGCATGATGTAGAAGCCGAAGGCCGATGCACATGGGGTCAAGGTTCACGCTGCCCATGCTGTATCCCCGATCCTTCAGAAGTGAAGACGTTAGGGAAGGTAGCTCAGAATTTGCATGTTTAATGTTTGTTTTAATCTGCTTGAGGAGGGGGTGCAAAGTGCTAGATTTTGTGTGTGTGTGTGGGAGCGTGGCAGGAGATTCCTGGTGGCCAAGCCGTCCTTGTCCTTCGCGAAGAGCGGGCGCGGGATCTCCTTTACCGTCCCGGGGAACACGTTCGCGTCAAGCAAGTTCACGAAGACGGTACAGTCTTGATTGGCTTCGCAGACGGACGCGAATCCTGGGTCCATGCCGAAGAGGTGTCCATGGTCAACACGCAGGCAGGCAGGGTCTTAGACTCAGCGAGCGTTGAAAATTTGGCAGTGTAGAAGGGTCCAGCTTTCATTTTGGGACCCCCGCGCCCCCAGGGGCGTGGGGGAAGAATACATCGGCACTCCAAAAGTTTCGAGCTACCGACCTACATGTGAGGGACTACATGTTAGACGGGTCCTGCGGAGGAGCGGAGGTCCTGAAAGACTCATTTCCACTGGCCAGGCTAGCGGAGTAATTTATCTACGTTTTAAAACTATAATGCTATTGTAGTTCCGGAGGACGCCTGGGGACCCTTGTGGAGGAGTCTACTGGGGAAGAGGGATATGTCGTGTTGTTACTTGCATGAGACCTGGGCTGTGATCTTCGGGTGGGTCGAACTTTCCGCACCCCGCAGTAGCCCCAAACCCAAAACGTTTTGGCTCCGAGCTTGCTCGGCCCTTCTGCAGCCCCAAACGTTGGTAATGAGGTTTCCTTCTCTTCCAAGGCCTCCTTGGTTACATGGGCCGCCACACTGCAAGCTCTGTCTGCTTACCACGTTTAGAAGACGGGATCGGATAAAAGAAGCGCTTATTTTTCACGAGGGGCAGGAACCAGGGAAATCGAATCATCGTACCACACCCAGTGCCCAGGAACGGAGGCTTGCCCAAAAGTCGTAACCAACAACTATCCATGCTAACATCCTGCGCGTTTCTGTCTGCGCATACATGCCAGCAAGGACTTGAAAGACCCTGCTAACACAGTCAGTCAGTAAATTTTGCCTGAGAGACCAAACCCTGAGCCTTACCTTGGGACCGTTCGACTTGCAGCAATCCCAGTCGGGGACTTGTGCCTGGATGCAGTACCTGGGCTAAGAAGTAGGGATGTTCTAGCCAAGCTCCAGCCTTAGGAGCGCCTAGTGCTGATGGAGTCTACAGGAAAATCTGTAGGTCTTCACGTGGGCTACTGTCAACAGTAGGGTTTCCAAGGCGACCAGTAAAAGAGGACATAGGGGTCCCTTCGGTAGTCTAGTATAGTTCCTAAAGTATCCCTATGAAGAACCCATGTACAAGAAATAAATCGAAATATTGCCTGTAGCTCATCTCGAAGGTTCCGAAAGCCGCAGGGCTGTCTAGATCGTCCCCAAACCCGAGCCAAAAAGACTTAACCGCGAGACTGAACTGCCGGCCATAGTAGTCGGTGTATTACTACTACCCCTATACAGCCGTAATCCAACATTCAACAGGGGGCTCCTGTTCAGGAACTTGACAATCCGCAGGGTGGAAGTGGCAGCGGTTCTGACCAGGCAGACGCCAAGCTTCTGGGTTTGAAGGTGTGAGGGTTGAGGATTTAAGTTGTGGAGTTTCCTAAGCCTTAAACCCTAACCCTTCTAATATATCCAAAGACATAGTCTATCTATTTAAAGGAGTTTCATGGCTTTGGCTGCAAGGCTCGCGTTGAAGAATTTATCGTTCAAAGCCAGCATGAGGCATGAGGTAATGGGTGCAGCTTCTCCCAAAGGGTCATACTATATAGCTACCTGGACCCTTTGGGTCTGCTATACCAGCCACGGGTATCATGCAGTTCTGCCGGCTGCTAGTTCGGACACGTACTTGTAGTTGCAACGTTCTTGTGTTGTAGTGTACCACCATCGTGGTTGCTGCTTTCACGCTGCAGCTTCTGTGGCAGGTCAGTGGTAGGAGAAGCATGCACGACGAGCATTGTTGACATTGCCACCAATGTATTCGTTCTGTCTCGGCGTGATTCTGATGTTGTTCTGGCATGAGTATGATGCTGCCTGTCATCATCATTGAAGATGATGCTGGCAGCTGCAAAGAAATGCTTATGACGACGACTGTGCTGAATGCAAGGCTTAATGATAGAACTGCCCATATATCGTGCATTTCCCAATGCTGTCACATTCCACATTAAACAAATATGCACGGCTAGCGCCCTGTGCGTGGCCGTGTCTCGGGGTGGCCAGCCAGCGAATAGCATTGCGCGCGTTGCCCAGACACTCTGGGTTGTTTGCTTTGGACCGCAGGAATCTGGGTAAAGCTCATGGCGACCGGAGAGGTTGTGAAAGAAGCTTGAGACACAGGACATACAGCATAATAGAAAATACTTGAGGGAAGCAGGTAAGGGCTCTGAAGATGCAGAACTCACTGCTGCATTCTTGGACCCTAAACCCTAAACTCTACACCCGAAGCCCTGAACCCTAAACCCTAAACCCTAAACCCTAAACCCCAAATCCTAAACCCTAAACCCTTAACCCTAAACCCTAAAGGTGCAAGGATCGGTCCGCTTCGGATCATCCAACAGACCCACTGGCTCCACATGAGCCATATTCTAAACTCCTTAAAGGGGGATATGGAGATTTCCCAAAATTAGGGGTACCATTTTGGGGGTCCCAATAATAAGGATTATAGTATTTTGGGGTCTATATTGGGGTCCCTTTATTTCAGGAAACTACCATATATAAGGGGGTATATAGTATACTATTATAGGGGTCATTAAGGGGGTTCCTAGGAGTTTAGACTATAGCACACATAGCATGCTAGGCCTTGATCTTCAGAACTCATTAGTGCTCTATCAGAGCACTGCTTCCCAAGGAGTTGAATCCAAGATCCTAATCCCCAACCCCTCAACCCTGAAGCTCAATTCGACATAAAAGTGTCTGAGGTGTCAATAACCACACAGGCATACAGACCCTAAACCCTAAACCCTAAACTCCCTCGAAGGCCGCCGCGCTTGCCACCTCCATGGAGGACCCGCGTTGGCTTCCGAGAGTGTGTTTTGATTCTAGAACTAGATAGAGATGTACAGTTATGTTTGCCGGAGGTACCTGCCAGGGTTAAGTTGATTAATGAGGGTCTAGGGAAGAGGATTATTACCCTAAGGGTCCAAGGACCCCAAAAATTGGGTCTTAGGGCTGAAATACCATAATATTCATGGTGTTTGGGCCCTCAAACCCTATTATTTGGGTCCTTGGACCCTTAGGGTTCGGATGCAGGGATTGGCTCTAGGTTTGCGATTTCTCGGGCCCTTGGAGACTTTGGGGATCTATGGGGATTACACGAGGATTTTTGGGTCTGGGAGTCATTGTGAGAAACTCCCAAGGTACCCAGGTTCGAGTTAGGGAGTACAAAGTTTAGGATCTTTGCCTTGAGGATTTCATTGTGAGTTTTGGCCGATTTTGTTTCAAGAAATTGTGATGGGCTCCCTACTACCCCCTACGTTCCCCCTCAGTTGGCCTTCAGGGTTCAGCATTGCGAGGGACGGCCGGGCCTGATCAAAATCTAGTCCTTCTCAGATACACAGCCTCCTCTTAGACTTCAGAGTTTAAGGTTTAGGGTTGAGAAGTGGCTTGGGCTGTGGAGGCGAAGTGGGTGGATCGAATAGGAAAAGCTTTTAGCAGGAGACTAGTGGTAACCTCAACCCTCGTAATAAGGAGTCTGTAAGAGTCAAGTCATAGTTGCACTGTCGTCGATGGAGGAAGTCTTTGACCACTTAAGATCCCGCCCCCATAGATTTTAATTTTCGCGGTATGGAGTATGAAAGTACAGCTCATTTCGGGTCCTTGCTGAAGTCCCCTTATTAGCATCAATCTTCTAAGGAGGACCAAGTTAAGGTACCATTTCTGCACGTGCACTCCAATACCGTGTGCCTAAACGATCAAGGAGAACGGGCTTATTTGTTCTGTTTGTTGCTTGCATTGGCCCTGAAACCATTGTACAGTGACTTGGAAAGTGTTGGCAACCCCCAGGATTAGGACCCCACCATATTGATACCATAGCTATGGGGACACTCTTATTGCCACCTAGAGTGAGTTTGCTCATGAAATTCAATTGCCGGAACAACCCTCGTATACTTAGTCGTCGTAGTTCCCAATAATTCAACACAGCGGGCTATTCCGCGAGCCACAAAAGTCTAGACACCTGAACCCCAGAAAACCCTGAACCCTAAGCGCTAGGCCGTAAATAATAAATCCTAACATTCAACCAGACCCCAAAACATATAGGATCGTCTGAAGATCGTTTGCAGGGTCGACCCCCCCGAATCCTTCCACAATGCTGGAGAAATCCCTCTAGGCACTTGACCCTATATGCACCCGACCCTAAAACCTACGTAGCCCCGTAGCCCCTTTCACGAGCTGGGCGGACTGTACCCTTCGAATTCTAGCGCTGTGATGGTGTAGGCTTTCTTCCCACCTAGACCGTAAACCAGAAGCCTACAACCCTAAACAACGTAAACCCTACAACCCTACACCTTCAGAACCTAGACCCGAAAATCCCAAACCCTAAAACACCTGAAGCTCTCAAACCCTAAAATCCTAAGCCCCGAACCCCCCAAGCCCTGAAACCCCAAAACCCTAAAACCTTAAAACCCTACACGGAGTACCTCCTTAGGAACCAGTTCATTCGCATAGGATGGTGATGTGGATGCCACCGGGAGTTCCTCCGATCAGGCAGGGGGGAGCCATGGGTGTTGGGGTTTGATGCTCTAGGGCTTACCCAAGGGCTCCAATGTAGTTCCTTTTTGGGTTTGTTATGGCTTCTTGGTAAGGGATTATAATATACTATCCAAAAAGGAACTACATAGGAGGGTCTGGGTAGGGCTTAGGGCTTTAGGGCTCAGGGGTCTTAGGATGTTCAAGGCTTTATTGCTCGTTTTTTTTTTGCTGGTTCAAGGGTTCAGGGGTCTTAGGGTTAAGGGCTTTAGGGTTCAGGGGTCTTCGAGTTTATCGCTTTTGGGGCTGTAGGGGTCTTAGGCTTTTGGGCTTTCGGGGTTTTAGGGGTCTTAGAGCTTTAGGGTTCGGGCGGGTTCGGGTTTGGGGTCTAGAGTCTAATTTAGGGGATTGATCCAGGACAGTTCCAGGTGGGTAG